TCAACTTGCAAGGCTCTTTTTCATTTTTTTCCATTGAAATTTATTCTATGGATACCATGGACGAAATGCCCTAGGCCACTCCTGCATCATCCACTCATAGGGGCTACCTTACAAACCTTTCACCATGCTATTTCAAAAAAAATGACCTTTCATCATCACCTAGCCCATTTACCCTTCTAATTAAAACCGCTTTGCCGCCCTGCCACTGTGTATATACGTGTGCAGGGCGGCAGTGGAGCGCAAAACCATGTTTAAAAACGGGTTCCGCGCTCCCGACACTTTCGCCGGCAGGGGGCGCGCGCCGCGCGCTCCCGCCGACCCGCGGGTGACACTATTTGATCCAGGAGGGATCAATCATTAGATTTCAGCCAGTGATTTGGCTGAAATCACATGATCGGTCCCCTGTCCTATCCTGTCCTGTGTTGACATACACAGGGCAGGATATGATGTCATTCTTCTCTGCCTGGACACATTCCGTTCCAGACAGAGAAGAAGACATCCAAAAAGTGAGTACACAAGCACTACACTACAGTTAGAAACACTCTAGGACACATTTAACCCCCTGATCGCCCCCCCCCCGCCAGTTAAACCCTTCACTGCCCTGTCACCAGTGTTACTGATCAGTGAAGCGATTTTTACTGATCAGTGTCGCTGGCGACTTCCGATAGAGTTAGCGCCCCTCCCAGATAGCGCCAGATTGCCCGCCAGTACACCAGTAATCCGTTTAACCCCTTGATTGCCCCCCCCCCTCCAGTTAAAACCCTTCACTGCCCTGTCACCCAGTGTCACTGATCAGTGAACCAATTTTTACTGATCACTGTATCAGTGTCGCTGGCGACTTCCGATAGAGTTAGCGCCCCTCCCAGATAGCGCCAGTTTGCCCGCCAGTACACCAGTAATCCCGTTTAACCCCTTGATCGGCCCCCCCCCCCCCCCAGTTAACCCCTGCACTGCCCTGTCACCAGTGTCCACTGATCAGTGAACCAATTTTTACTGATCACTGTATCAGTGTCGCTGGCGACTTCCGATAGTGTTAGCGCCCCTCCTAGATAGCGCCAGTTTGCCCGCTAATGCACGGGATTTTTTTTTTTTTTACCAAAAACATGTAGCAGAATACATTTTGGCTTAAATTTTATGACTAACTTTGAGTTTACGATATATTTTTTTATAGCTGAAAGTAGAAAATATTGTTTTTTTTTCAAAATTTTTGTGTTTTTTTTGTTTATAGAGCAAAAAATAAAAAGCGCACAGGTGATCAAATACCACCAAAAGAAAGCTCTATTTGTGTGAAAAAAAGGACGTAATTTTCGTTTGGGTGCAGCATTGCATGACCGCGCAATTATCATTTGAGTTAGTGCAGCGCTGTATAGCAAAAAAAGGCATAAATTACAGTATTATACCATAGTTTGTAGACGCTATAACTTTCACACAAAGCAATCAATATACACTTATTGGGATTTTTTTTACCAAAAACATGTAGCAGAATACATTTTTTGGCTTAAATTTATGACTAACTTTGAGTTTACGATATATTTTTTATAGCTGAAAGTAGAAAATTATTTTTTTTTTTTTCAAAATTTTTGTGGTTTTTTTTGTTTATAGCGCAAAAAATAAAAAGCGCACAGGTGATCAAATACCACCAAAAGAAAGCTCTATTTGTGTGAAAAAAAGGACGTAATTTTCGTTTGGGTGCAGCATTGCATGACCGCGCAATTATCATTTGAGTTAGTGCAGCGCTGTATAGCAAAAAAAGGCATAAATTACAGTATCTATACCATAGTTTGTAGACGCTATAACTTTCACACAAAGCAATCAATATACACTTATTGGGATTTTTTTACCAAAAACATGTAGCAGAATACATTTTGGCTTAAATTTATGACTAACTTTGAGTTTACGATATATTTTTTATAGCTGAAAGTAGAAAATATTTTTTTTTTTTTTCAAAATTTTTGTGGTTTTTTTGTTTTATAGCGCAAAAAAAAATAAAAAAGCGCACAGGTGATCAAATACCACCAAAAGAAAGCTCTATTTGTGTGAAAAAAAGGACGTAAATTTTGTTTGGGTATAGCATTGCATGACCGCGCAATTATCATTTGAATTAGTGCAGCGCCAAACAGCAAAAAAAGGCCTGGTCATTAAGGGGGGTAAATCCTCTGGGGCTCAAGTGGTTAATAACCCAGGTTTCATCCCAGGGATGGATCATACATTTCCCCCAGCTGCAATGTCAGATAAACCCCTTTTAGCCACCCATTGTTTCCAAAAAAGGTACACTTATAACTAGGGCCTCAATGATGAAGGACCTACAGATGGATGTGTTCCCGTTTTGGACTTATCTACAGATCTGCAGCTATCTAAACGTCATATAGAAACAAACATTTATTTAGTAGACCTTTGACCATTCAAATCATTTTTTCTGAAAGGCAATGAATTGGTAGAACTACTTTTCTTTCTTACTCCTGGTTACAACAGGGACATGATCTCACCTTAGATAGATTTAAGGAACAATGGACAAAGGCACTACACATTGATATTTCAGACCAACAATGGCTTAAAGTCTGTATTTTAACACATAAGTGTACTCTGAGCTCCAGAACTCAAGAAATCTCCTACATGATTTTGACCCAATGGTATATGACCCCTGATAAGCTAAGATGCTTTTTCCCTGCTTTTTCTGACACGTACTGGAGGTGTGGACAAGCACGTGGTACCATGTACCATATATGGCGGAAATGCCCGACCATTGCACAATACTGGACAAGAGTTAAAAATTGAATAGTCCCAATCACCGATACCCAAATTGATCTTACCCCTGAATGCTGACTCTTACAAGTTAATCGATGTCCTTTGAAAAAATATAAACACAAAAATACACTGAAGCACGTGCTAAACGCAGCAAAAATACTGATCCCATATATTGGATATCCAGCTCTATAACTACAATTACTACAATTACAAAGACTGGATTCTAAAAATAGATGAAATTTATGAAATGGAGAGGTCAGTTGCCATGGTACATGATCCTACACCCAGATTTCATAAAACATGGACACCATGGTAAATATTTCAACTATCTGTGGAATACTCGGCTATTCTTCTGGGATGAATAAATAAATGCATATTGTAGCTACACATTCACACACTGTTATACTGGATGACCAACTACTACTTGCTGTCTCCTCTTATTTCTCTTATTGGGGTTTTTGTTTCTCTCTCTCTCTTCTTTTTATCCTTTATTTTTTCTTATACCTCTTGGGAAACCATTATTATGATTTTAGTCACATTTAATTACTAAGATGTCATACTGAGAATATTCTATTGATACTGCTCTATTACCAATTAACCTTAAAAATGATTACTGTGCCTTAATTACATTGATACCAATTATCATACACACATATGCAATACCTGCATTGTGCAGTAATACCCGGCTAGATATCAGTATCTGACTCATTGGTATACATTCTTTGATATAGTAATGTAACATGGTTCTGCAATGTTATGTAATTGTTAGCATTTGCACTACTGGATCTGATCTATTTCTTATGATCAATGTTCAGCCATGTGTATATATATCAGATACTAGATTTGTATAATATATTGATATGTTTGTTGCCATGTTGTACCAGGTCGGTTTTACTCAATAAACATTTTATTTAAAGAAAAAAATATCTGAAAAGTTTGGCGTGCATTTGTATTCAGCCTCAATACTTTGTAGAACCACCTTTTGCTGCAATTACAGCTACAAGGCTTTTTGGGGTGTTTCTACCAGCTTTGCACATCTAGAGAGTGAAATGTTTGCCAATTCTTCTTTGCAAAATAGCTCAAGCTTTGTCAGATTGGATGGAGAGTATCTGTGAACTGCAATTTTCAAGTCTTGCCACAGATTCTTAATTGGATTTAGGTCTGGACTTTGGTTGGGTCATTCTAACACATGAATATGCTTTGATCTAAACCATTCCATTGTAGCTCTAGCTGTATATTTAGGGTTGTTGTCCTGCTGGAAGGTGAACCTCACCCACCCAAGTCTCAAGTCTTTTGCAGACTCTAACAGGTTTTCTTCTAAGATTGCCTTGTATTTGGCTCCATCCATCTTCCCATCAACTCTGACCAGCTTCCCTGTCCCTGCTCAAGAAGAGCATCCCCACAACATGATGCTGCCATCACCATGTTTTACAGTGGGGATGGTGTTGTGCAGTGTTAGTTTTCCGTCACACATATCATTTTGCTTTTAGGCTAAAAAGTTCAGTTTTGGTCTCATCTGACCAGAGCACCTTGATCCACATTGCTGTGTCTCCCACATGGCTTCTCGCAAACTGCAAACAGGACTCCTTTCTTTAAACAATGGCTTTCTTCTTGCCACTCTTCCATAAAGGCCATAATTGTAGAGTGTGCAACTAATAGTTGTCCTATGGACAGATTCTCTGACCTGAACTGTGGATCTCTGCAGCTTCTCCAGAGTTACCATTGGCCTCTTGGCTGCTTCTCTCATTAATGCTCTCCTTGCTCGGCCAGTCAGGTGACTTCTGAAGGCAATTGGTTCCACTAGATTTTAGTTAGGGGTATCAGAGTAAAGGGGGCTAAATACATATATAATACCATTTATCATCACTTATTATTACAATTATGCGCCACTTTGTGTTGGTCTATCACATAAAATTCTAATAAAATAAATACGTTTTTGGTTGTAACATGACAAAATGTGGAGAATTTCAAGGGGTATGAATATTTTTTCAAGGCACTATCAGTTTTGAAACAGTAAATTACATCTTACATTTTACATTTAGAATGTTCAAACCTTTTGCTATCACCACAATACTTTGTTAGATTGGAATCATTGCTTGTACTGAAAATAGGTAGAACGGAGGTACCGTATTTTTCGCACCATAAGACGCACTTTTTTCCCCCCCAAAAAGGGGGGGAAAATGTCAGTGCGTCTTATGGAGCGAATATAAAGCGGCCGGTCCGGTATTTTTGCACCACCATGTCAGAATACCGGGCCGGCCGCTCAGCTGTTGTCTCCTGCAGGGCCTTACCTGTTCCTCGCTCCAGCGCTGCACAGTCTTCCCGCGCTGGCTTCTGTGACAGCCGGGTGCCCACTGCGCATGTGCTGCGCTTTGTGAATGATCCGGTGTCTTCTGGGACACATGAAGGGTCCCAGAAGGCGCCGGGCCATTCACAAAGCGAAGTGCTTCTCGCACCTGCGCAGTGGGCACCCGGCTGTCACAGAAGCCGGCCCGGGAAGAAGAGGAAAGGCAACTCCGCGGAAGTGGGAGCGGGTACCTGTCAAATTCAGGTAACCGCTCCCCCTCCCTCCCCAAAGGTCAGCAGTCTCTGGTCATTCCCTGCACTGTCTGCAGTCTCTGGACATTCCCTGTACTGTCTGCAGTCTCTGGACATTCCCTGCACTGTCCGCAGTCTCTGGTCATTCAATGCACTGTGTCCGCAGTCTCTGGTCATTCCCTGCACTGTCCGCAGTCTCTGGTCATTCCCTGCACTGTCCGCAGTCTCTGGTCATTCCCTGCACTGTCCGCAGTCTCTGGTCATTCCCTGTACTGTGTCCGCAGTCTCTGGTCATCTCCTGCACTGTGTCCGCAGTCTCTGGTCATCCCCTGTACTGTGTCCGCAGTCTCTGGTCATCTCCTGCACTGTGTCCGCAGTCTCTGGTCATTCCCTGTACTGTGTCCGCAGTCTCTGGTCATCTCCTGTACTATGTCCGCAGTCTCTGGTCATCTCCTGCACTGTGTCCGCAGTCTCTGGTCATCTCCTGCACTGTGTCCGCAGTCTCTGGTCATCTCCTGCACTGTTTCTGCAGTCTCTGGTCATCTCCTGTACTGTGTCCGCAGTCTCTGGTCATCTCCTGTACTGTGTCCGCAGTCTCTGGTCATCTCCTGTACTGTGTGTCCGCAGTCTCTGGTCATCTCCTGTACTGTTTCCGCAGTCTCTGGTCATCTCCTGTACTGTGTCCGCAGTCTCTGGTCATCTCCTGTACTGTTTCTGCAGTCTCTGGTCATCTCCTGCACTGTTTCTGCAGTCTCTGGTCATCTCCTGCACTGTTTCTGCAGTCTCTGGTCATCTCCTGCACTGTTTCTGCAGTCTCTGGTCATCTCCTGTACTGTGTCCGCAGTCTCTGGTCATCTCCTGTACTGTGTCCGCAGTCTCTGGTCATCTCCTGTACTGTTTCTGCAGTCTCTGGTCATCTCCTGTACTGTGTCCGCAGTCTCTGGTCATCTCCTGTACTGTGTCTGCAGTCTCTGGTCATCTCCTGCACTATTTCTGCAGTCTCTGGTCATCTACTGTACTGTGTCCGCAGTCTCTGGTCATCTCCTGTACTGTGTCCGCAGTCTCTGGTCATCTCCTGTACTGTGTCCGCAGTCTCTGGTCATCTCCTGTACTGTGTCCGCAGTCTCTGGTCATCCCCTGTACTGTGTCTGCAGTCCATTGGTTCAGAATATTTTTTTTTCTTGTTTTTCACCTCTAAAACCTAGGTGCGTCTTATGGTCAGGTGCGTCTTATGGAGCGAAAAATACGGTATTTGCTATTTTTATTTATCTGGATCCCTCAACCCTCAATTATTTTTAACAGCCATGCATACTTGTGGCTTAAAAATATTGTCTGTCTTCAATACACATGGCCAGACGTCAATCAGCCCAGAAAAAAAATTTTGACCCATCAATGCAATGATAAGCTGGTGGTTTAAGCAGAATTATGAACAAACATACAGTTGCAAGAAAAAGTATGTGAACCCCTTGGGATTACGTGGAGTTTTGCATGAATTGGGCATAAAATGTGCTCCGTAACGTCATCTAAGTCACAACAATAGAAGAACACAGTCTGCTGAACATAACACTACACAAACATTAGATGTTGCCATGGTTTAATTGCACATAACATGTAAACATTCACAGTGCAGGGAGGAAAAAGTATGTGAACCTGTGGACTTAATAACTGGTTGACCCTCGTTTGGCAGCAATAACCTCAACCAAACGTTTCCTGTAGTTGCAGATCAGACCTGCACAATGATCTGGAGTAATTTTGGACCACTCCTCTTCACAAACTGTTTCAGTGTAGCAATATTCTTGGGATGTCTGTTGTGAAAAGCTCTCTTAAGGTCATGCAACAGCATTTCTATCGGTTGAGATCAGGACTGGGCCACTCCAGAAGGCGTATTCTATGCTGTTGCAGCCATTGTTTTGTTGAATTACTTGTATGCTTCGGGTCATTGTCCTGTTGCATCAGCCATGCTCTGCGGAGCTTCAGTTGGCGGACAGATGGTCTTATGTTTTCCTGCAAAATGTCTTGATAAACTCTGGAATTCATTTTCCCATCAATGACAACAATCCGTCCAGGCCCTGAGGCAGCAAAGCAGCCCCAAACCATGATGCTCCCTCCGCCATGTTTTACAGTGGGGATGAGGTTTTGATGTTGGTGTGCTGTGCCTTTTTTTCTCCACACATAGTGTTGTGTGTTCTTCCCAAACAACTCAATCTTGGTTTCATCTGTCCACAGTATATTTTGCCAGCAGTGCTGTGGAACATCCAGGTGCTCTTTTGCAAACTTCAAACATGCTGCAATGATCTTTTTGGACAGCAATGGCTTCCTCCGTGGTGTCCTCCCATGTACTCCATTCTTGTTCAATGTTTTCCTTATTGTAGATGTGTCAACAAAAAATGTTAGCATGTGCCAGAGATTTCTGTAGGTCTTTACCTGACACTCTGGGATTCTTCTTTACCTCATGCAGCATTCTGCGCTGTGCTCTTGCAGTCATTTTTACAGGATGACCACGCCTAGGGAGAGTAGCAACAGTGCTAAACTTTCTCCATTTGTAGAGAGTCTGTCTTACCGTGGACACATGAACATTAAGGCTTTTGGAGTTACTTTTGTAACCCTTTCCAGCTTCATGCAAGTCAACAATTCTTGATCGTAGGTCTTCTGAGAGCTCTTTTCTGAGAGGCATGGTTCACATCAGACAGTGCTTCTTGAAACCAGTAAGCCCAAAACAGGTGTGTGTTTTTTAAGGCAGGACAGCTGTCAGCAACACATCCAATATCATCACACTGATTGGAGTCAAGGTTGGCTCACTCCTGGATCCAATTAGCTCTGGGAGAAGTCATTAAGCTAGGGCCTCACATACTTTTTCCTCCCTGCACTGTGAATGTTTACATGTTATGTGCAATTAAACCATGGCAACATCTAATGTTTGTGTAGTATTATGTTCAGCAGACTGTGTTCTTCTATTGTTGTGACTTAGATGACGTTCAGAGCACATTTTATGCCCAATTCATGCAAAACTCCACGTAATCCCAAGGGGTTCACATACTTTTTCTTGCAACTGTATAATATTACCATTCCATGTTTAACATAATTTTTAGGTTTATGGTAAAATATGAATTCTATTATTCTATTACAACTTCTTCTAAAGTGCTAAAAAAAAAAAGTAGAAGCATTTCAATTGACATTTCCTCTATTACTAAATAATTAACCTCATTGTACACTTAAAATTAGATTGTTACATAAGCAAATGAGTAACCACTACGTCAATGTATCTAACTTCCAATTACTACCCAAAAAAGTAAAGTTAAAAAGATGTACTGTACATATTTTATTTGAAATATTGACTTAGCAAAGTGAAATACTTTTTAATGACTTGAAATAAAAAAAGATTTCTACTGATAAATCAGTATGTCATTCATGTCCTCAGAATCACATAAAAGTTTTCTCTAAGCTACTTTTTCACCCTGGGGAAGTTTTCTGTACTACAATGGCCAGTGTATTTTTGTGGAATTCCAATGTACAAGGTTCATTTGGAATAACTTACATTTTCAGTAGAGATAAGCTTCATGTTCAGGTCAAATATGAAACCGAGCTGAAAAATGTTTATTGTTTAGGTGTTAAGAGAGACCATAAGCAGTTTCTAAGGATAAGACATGGTCTTGTCATCGAAACTTCTGCTCTGAAAAAAAAAGCACCTACCCAGATTTCGAAAAATTCCCTAGAATAGACTTTTTTGTGGTCAGATGGGTGTTAAACAAAAAAAATGTTCTCTTTCTTGACTTTCCCTACACTTACCATTCATTTTGATTTAAATACATAGCTAGAAAGGTGTTAAAGTAAATATAGAAGAAATGCATGTTTTGCTAAATCGATTGGAATATTGTTTTTCATTCAGCAGAATCAGTATGGACAGTATCTTGAAACGGTCAGGGAAACTGTTCATTCCTTTGAAAAATAATCTATACACTAATACCACAACAAAGCATAATGGGTGGCAGTCTTAGAGAGAAGTCTTGGGGAGGTTTATTTTATATTTCTTTCTTTTCAATGCCAAGACCAGATGCATAGTTTTAGTACCTACGTGGATCCTCCCTTTACCCACTTTTATTTGAGGCCAGGAAGATTTTAATATACAACACTGCTTAGTGTCATAGATGTGCGCATGGAGTGTGACAGTCATGTCTGGGACCTCCCCAGTCACCCCATATGCATTAGCATTAATGCTCTGGGCCTGGCAGGGGTGCACTGGCTGTTCGCATAAATGGAAGAGGAGGGAAGTTTGAAGTTTGATCTGCTCTCTACCCCGCCCATATCCCCCTGTGTCCCTCCACACTGCAACCCCTGGGGTCACAGCTGTCGGGTGTAGGGGGATGGGTAGAGGGGTAATGTGGGGGTATCGGGGAAGGGGAATGGGTTGAGAGGTCACAGTGCAGGAGTATTGGGGGGGTAAATGAGTTGATGGATCACAATGCAGGGTGTATTGGGGGGAATAGATAGAGGGGTCACAGTGCAGGGGGTATCAGGAGAAATGGGTAGAAGGGTTTACAATGCTGGGGATATCTGTGAGGTAGAGAGGTGGCAGTGCCGCTGATATCTGGGGTGTAGAGGGGTCACAGTGCAGTGGTATTGGAGGGAAGAATGGGTAGAGAGATCAGAGTGTGGAGTATGAGAGGTAGGGTAGAGCGGTCACACTGTGGAGGATATCAGGTGGAATGGGTAAAGGGGTCAAAGTGTGGGGGGAATGGGTAGAGGAGTCATAGTGTGGGGGTATCGGGGGGAATTTGTAGAGGGGGCCACAGTGCTGCGGATATCTGGGAGGTAGAGAGGTGACTGTGATGGGGGTATCTGGGGTGTGGAGGGGCACAGTGCAGGTGGTATCAGGAATATAATGGGATTACAGTATTATGGGTATCTAGAGAGAATATGGTAACAGTGCAGTGGGTATTTGGGATTTAACTATGTCACAGTGCTGGGAGATATATCCAGGAGGTATAGAGGTGGAAACAGTGCTGTGTGTGTGTATATATACAGTATATACACTATATTGCCAAAAGTATTGGGACACCCCTCCAAATCATTGGATTCAGGTGTTCCAATCACCTTCATGGCCACAGGTGTATAAATTCAAGCACCTAGAAGTCGCCAACTGTCGGCAGAGTCAATAGCTAAAGACCTCCAAACTTTATGTGGCCTTCAGATTAGCACAACAACAGTGTGTAGGGAGCTTCATGGAATGGGTTTCCATTGCTGAGCAGCAGCTGCATCCAAGCCTTACATCACCAAGTGCAATGCAAAGCATCTGATGCAGTGGTGTAAAGCACTAGTGATGTCCTTGATGTTCGAGTCGAACATAAATTCGGTGAACACATGAACTGTAAGGGGGTTTGGTAAGCTGTTCGCCCGCCGTGCCGCACAATGCACTGCGCTCTGACAGTGCATTGTGATTGGCCAAAGCAATGCACTTGATTACAGGTCTGGTGCAATGCTTTTGCCAATCACAGCACATGTGGGCTGAGCTATCGGTAACGTCACCACTAGCTCCACCCAATTGTTTACATCTGACTGGAAAATGTCAGCTAGCGGCAAGTGATCTGGGGGTGCAGATGGGTTGGCAGCTTTTTTTTAATTTTGGCAAGTCAGCAGCATCGGTGACAATGCTGGGCGCCATGATTGACGATGGATTA